TTTTTTTTTTTTTTTTTTTTGGTACCAGGGATCAAAATCAGGACCTTGAGCTTGTGAGTCAGGCAGCAGAATAACTGAGCTAAATTCACGGCCCCTTGTGCATCTTCTTTTATGAAATGTCTTTATAGATCCTTTACAACCATTAAACTTTACTGACTTTTCAAGATTGTTACTCAAAGGTGAATAAATTATGTAAATATTTCTATGTGTAATTACAATAGAATCAAAATATATGAGAAATCAAATTTGGCAGGTGGATTAACAGACTGTTAAAGAGACTATCTCTCTCTCTCTCTCTCTCTCTCTCTCTCTCTAATTGATAGTATGACCTATTACACACTAGGCAGTTTTTAAATCATACCACACATTTTTGCAAGGACATTTTAATATCTTCTAATTCTGATGCTTCTCATTTGATTCTTTTAAGTCTTAAGTGCAGGGAAGGGAAAAAAAGAGAAAGGAAGAGAAGTGGCAGGCCAACTTGGAAATACATATACAAAAATATCCTTTATGAATGAAAATGAATAAGCAAATTTTCAGACAAGAGCAGACTGCAGTGAGAGGTGAGCTCCAAAGGGCATGGAGAGCTCCACCACTGTGGCCCTAATGACTATAGCATACACGGCCTTCCTCTTGCCTACCCCCACTCACTGCCTGAAACATCCCTTAGCAGCCATTCTACATTTCTCATATCCTCAATTTCCCACGAACTCTACTGAACCCGCAGTTTCACTCTCAAATCTTCATACACTGCTCTATCATGGGCACACTTCCTGGGCTCCCAGGACTTCCTGTGAAACCTGAGTAGAAGTCTCCTCAACTCCACAACTTTTATATTCTGTATGTCAGTAAAACTACCAACACTAGAACAATGCCAAGGTCCCTGTCACTGAAAGCCGGAGCCAGACCCCCTTGGAACAGGGCTACAGTAGTCTCCAAGTGATACTAAACAGGATGAAATGAATCCCAATGAATCAATTCCCTACATGGCCCTTCTCAAGCAGAGTACTCTGGGGTACTTGCCTCAAAACCAAGTCTTCCATAGTTTACCTTTACTATTTTACACCCTTGAGTATGGGAGGGGTAGTATCAGACATAAAGGTACAGTCAACTTATCTTTGCTATTATTCTGATGCAAAGCATTTGGCTTCTTTTTAATGTTATTTCAGGAATCACACTCTCTACCCTCAACTTTACAGGTACTTCCTTTCTAGCCAAGCTTCACATCAATTTTTTTTTTAGGTTTTTGTCTTTTTGTGGTGGGGGGTACCAGGAATTGAACTCAGGACCCTACGCTTGGCAGGTAGGCACGGCCCCACTAAACTAAATCCCTGGCATTTAGGTTTTTTCCTTTAGTGTCCATGATGAAGTCTCAGCTTGAGCTTTATTTACATTTACATTGAAAGCTGAGTGGTGATATTTGTGTCTTTCAGAAACAGGAGCCTCATTCTCTTAGCAATGAAGCATTAATGAGGAGGGCTGTGTCTTTGGTAACAAACAGCACCTCTACCTTTCTCTCTCAAATCACTTAAGAATTGATTGAAGCAATCACTGAATATACTAAGGTATACCTCCTAAGTACTGATTTTCTAAGCCAGGGGTTAACAAACTATGTCACCACCAGATCCAGCCTGATGTTTGCATTTTGTTTTGTTTGTTTGTTGTTTTTCGAGACAGGGTCTCACTATGTAGCCCAGGGTGGCCTTGAATTTGAGGTTATCCTCCTGCCTTGGCCTCCTGAGTATGTGATTACAGGGGTGCCACGTCTACTTCTTGCTCCAGATTTCTCAACAAGAAAGTGACTAAGAAAATTGGTCATAATATCCTAAGTTTCTCTAGCCAGCATCACCAAACCTCTTCAAACTCCTACATATCAGTTCCAGGAAGAGTCACAGCAATGTTCCCACTTCAATGTTCTGGTATCAGTTGTGTATTAGCTTCCTCATGGCTGTAAAAAACTGCCTAACATCTATAACTTAAAGGAGGAAAGATTTATTTGGTTTGGGTAGGTTAGGTAGGTTCAGTTCCTGCTCATCTGGCTCCAAGGCAGAGATGGCATGGTAAAATGACATGGCAGAGCAAAATTGTTCACCATGTGACAGCCAAGAAGCAAAGAGAAGGAAGGAGCTGGAGGCAAGAACACATCCTTCCAAGGCATACTCTTAGTGACCAATCCCATCTGACTAGGCCCCACTTCTAAACATAAGACCTTTGGGGACATTTTAGATCTGAAATATAGTAAGTATAACACATAAAATTCAACTTTTAAAAATTCCTTGGCATACAAAAAGAAAAGATCAAATGACCAAAGAGGAAAGAAAGGGGGGGGGGAGAAGAAAAGAACAAATGACAGAAGGAAGAAGGGAAAGAGAAAAATGAGAAAGCAAGGGGGGGAGAATTGCCAGAGGACTGACCAATGGAAAGAAGCAGAGTTAATATTTAATTGACAAAAGTTTCCATTTTGCAAAATAAAAGTAGCTCTGGAGGTGTATGGTAGTTATTAATGCAAAACAATGTGAAATTAATGTAAATGATCTGAGGGCTGGGGATTTAGCTCAGTGGTGCCACTGCCTGCCTGGCAAGGGCAAGATCCCGAGTTCAATCCTCAGTACAAAAAATAATAATAATAGTAATAATGTAAATGATCTGTACACTGAAAAATAATTAAGATAGTAAACTTTGTTATGTGTATTTTATGCAGTTTTAAAAAGGACACTAAAAGTAGACCAAGAAGTCAGATAGATATTGAAGACAGAAAATACCTATAAAATACTAATGATAAATATATTTTAAGAAGATAAAAATATGATTTTTTAAAAGAGAATGAGAGAATGGGAGACTTAAAAAATCAAACAGGAATTTTAAAGGAAAAATATCCGATTAAAGTTAAGAATTGGTGCTGCACCTGCCTCACAAGCCCAAGGCCCTGAGTTCAACTCCTAGTACAAAAAAAAAAAAAGTGTATGTAAATTTTTTAAATGTATTACAGTAAATGACACATCACCATTAATACACCCAAAATACTCCTCCTTGATTCAAATACTTATTCCACTGTGCCTGACACTTTCTGAAGAACTTCTGGAAGTTTTCTTTCATGTATTTTACTATAATAAACTTTTAAAAATTTAAATATTTATCATAGTTTTCAAAGACTTTAAAAATGCTCCCCTAGTGATTCTATTATAACCTCCTCCAACTGATCCAACATAGGCTGAGGATTACTAGGAAGTATTACAATTTGTAAGGAAAGCCAAAATTTAGAACACAATGAGAGAAACACACAAGACACATTATTACATTTTCTTATATAAATGCTTACTTGTCTTTTCCTCTAAGTGATTAATTTTATCTCTGGATTCCTCAAGCAGAAATGTTAACTCTTTCATTTTATTTTCTTTCTCCGTGCTTTGGATTAGCAGTAATGATACCTAAAATAAAAAGTTTTTAAATTACAGATATAAAAAATGTAATATGGCATCTTACACACTTATCATCAACTACAATTAGTTTATATGCTTTTTAGATTGCTTTTCCTGACATTTAATACATGCTTGCACAATAAGAATGCACTGAATGAATAAACAAGCTTGTATTATATACTCAATATTATATTATGCCTTTCAAGTTACTACTGAGAAGATTACATAATGGAGTTTATTCACTGAATAAATGTTGCTGAGCACTAGAAACCCTAAGTTTTGAGTAGACAGAGATGAGGGAACTTACCTTCAAAAAACTCAGCATCTAGAATGGGAGACACACAACTATACCAGAAGAGTATTAGTAACAGAACAAAAGTGTTATAGGAATCAGGAAAGAAATACCTAAATCAGTCTTGGGGAAAGTAACTGAAAATTACTCAAAGGACTGAGTCCCCCCCACTCCAGTACTAAGTGTCGAACTTAAAACCTTGCATGGTACCACTGAGCTATATCCCTGGCGTTAGACTGAGTCTTGAGACAGAAAAATTTATCAGACAAACATAAGGAAATAGACATTATAGGCTGACAGAACACAAAAGATTGAAAAATCATTTTATTCAGATAACTGAAATGGCTAGAGTATACAGTTGAAGAAAAGGTGGAAATTAATCTTATAAAGATAGGCTGAAGACTTCCAGATTCAACATGATAAATGAGGCATTTTCTCCTCTATTTTCAACTCCAAATTACCCCAAAAATCAATGAGTAAAATCATATAGACAGACTTCATTATTTTAAGCCAAAACACTCCTAACATCTAAATTTTAATATATAAAGAAGGCCAGGAATTTAGCTCAGTGGTTCCACTGCCTGCCTCACAAGCTCAAGGACCTGAGTTCGATCCCTGGAAAGAAAGCAAGGAAGCAACCAGATGAAAGGAATAGAGAATGACTACAATAGTAAGGTCAGACTTAAGCACCTGCACAAGGAGATACTGAGAAGATAACCCACTCCAAAGTGTTTCAAGAATTAAAGGCATTAATTACTATATATGGTATGAACTAAGAGAATAAGTACAAACTGAATTCTGTAAAAAGTAGTAAAAATTCCCTAGGTTCACCCAACTCTCTCATCCTAGACCCTACCACCTGAGAGCCAATGTAGAGAAAGAACAACTCTAGTCCACCTTTGGAAGAGATATAGGTACATCAACTGAGTAAGAAAAATAGAGGGGAGTGGCTCAATGGTAGGGCCCATGCTTAGCATATGCAAGGCCCTGAGTTCAGTCCCCCTTCGTGAAAAAGAAAATCTAAACATGGATATTCCAAACACAGGGAGGGGTAAAGAAAAAAAATATAATTTGAAGTCAATAAATAGAGTGGGTGAGACTCAGCCTGCCCTTTTCTGGCCCTGTCCAACTCCATTCCTTAATATTTCAGCCAAGTTTACTCCCAGACAGGAATTTTGAAAAGCCGAGAAAAAAAAGTCCTACAAAACAGTGTTTAGGAATTCCAGAAAAAAACAAAACAAACAAAAACAGTAGTTGGTCATGTGATCATTTTACAAAGAAATTCAATAATCGGTAAGCTTTCTAAACGCACTAAGAACTACCAACAAGCTTTTTTGGCACATTGCTATTTTTGTGTTCTGTATAATAAACATGACTTTAGGGTTTGTTTTTTTTTTTTTAAAAAAAACTTCTTTCTTTTGGAACTGTGGCTTAAAAATAAAGTAAAAATACAAAAAAAAACTTGGTAACTTTTTCAAAAGATCTAAGCATAAAACATAAACTGAAATATAACCATTTAATCAAAACTGAAAACCCTAAAATACAAAGTAAAACAACCCTAAAATTCCACATTACTCCAGAAAAAATGACAATCACTAGGAAATCAAACAATAACAAATGCTGGCAAGGCTGTGGAGGAAAAAGAAACACTCCTGCATTATTGGTGGAAATGTAAACTGGTACAACCATTATGGAAATCAGTATGGAGATGTCTCAAAAAACTAAAATTGGAAATTCCATACGATCCAGCTATCCCCCTTTTAGATATCTTCCCCAAAGAGCTTAAGTCATCATACTACAGTGATACTTGCACACCATGTTTATAGCAGCACAATTCATAATAGCTAAATCCTGGAAGCAGCCCATGTACTCATCAACAGACGATTAAAGAAAATGTGATATCTATGTATAATGGAATACTACTCAGCTATAAAGAATGACACATTTTAGATACTTGTAGAAAAATGGATGCACCTGGAAAATACAATTTTTTTGTTTCTTTGGGGTTTTTTGTTTTGTTTTGGTACCAGGGATCAAACTCAGGTCCCTCCACTGGCAAGGCAGGCAGTGGAACCACTGAGCTAAATCCCCAGCCCTGGAAAATACAATGTTGAGTGAAATAAACCAGACACACAGGCTTAAATACAGTATGATATCTCTCATTTGAGTGAGGCACAAACAAATAAAATGATAAAGGATGGACAGAAAGGAACAAGGAGAGAGATCTCTTGAAGCAGGGAAATGGTCCAAAAGAACAAGGGCAAGTAATGAGGAGGAGGGGAAGGGGAAATCAGAATAAAGATATGCCATGTACAAGAACCTAATAACCCCAATTAATGCAAATACTATATGCCATAACATGAGCTAAGACAAATAATAATATCAACATTATGAAAAGGGGGATAGGAGAACTGGAGAGAGAGTGGGTAGAGGGAAGGAAGGAGGTTTTAAAAATTCACAAGCTGTAATATATACATATAACCACTCCTAGGCTATTGTAAACTGTATGATTTGTAAACATGTATTAATAAGTACATCTTCTGCACTTTCAATTAATGTTTTAATTATTAAATACATATCCTTAACTGTGATTTAAAAAATGAAAGAAGAAAAAGTGTTAACAATAGTGAAAAATAAAAAGATTTCCTTTTTCCATATCACTTTTTGTTGTGGAAACAGAAGACTTGAAAGTGATGAAGCTGGGCTGGGAATATAGGTCACTAACACAGAACCTGCCTGGGAAGCACAAGGTCCTGAGTTCAATCTGCTACCAAAGGGGAAACAAAGTAATAAAGTTGGCATAATAATAATCTGAAAATAACTTTTCTTTTTTTTCCCCCAGTACTAGAGATTAAACCCTGAGGCACCTTATTACTGAGTGATAGACCCTTTCTGTTAATTATTTTATTTTGAAACAGGGTGCTGTTAAATTGCCTAGGTGGCACTTGACTTTTCAATCCTCCTGGGTCAGACTCCCAGAGGGCTAGAAACAGAGACTGCTGCACCAGATGAAATTTATATTCTTACAACATTAAAGAATATAGACTTAGTCATTTTTAAACCTTCCATTATGTAATATTAAAAATCAAAGCAACAAAATGTTTCAATTTCTTTTCATTAGTTTGTCAGATTATATTTCAAAACAAACTACAAAATATAATTTGATGGTCCATGATTATATTTTATTACTTTTTGTCTGAACAAAATTTCTCATAAAATAATACATTATTGGCTGGGCGTGGGGTGGTGCACGCCTGTAATCCCAGCACTCGGGAGGCTGAGGCAGGAGGATCACTGTGAATTCCAGGCCAGCCTGGGCTACACAGTGAGTTCCAGGTCAGTCTCTACTACATAGTGAGACCCTGTCTAAAAAAAAATTATTGCAACAATAAAGAGATATATTTGGCAGGGGATTTAGCTCAGTGGTTCTGGTGCCTGCCTCATAAGCTCAAGGACCCAAGTTTGATCCCTGGTACCAAAAACAAAAGAGAGAGATATATATTGTAGACCACTACTCACTGATTAAAAAACCAAGCATTTAGTGTGTATAGCTGAGTCACTGAAAATTAATTTGGGTAGGAAAATACTGAATATTTGGATGTAATATTAAAATTCTTTCAGAAATATATCATGACATTATCAAATAAACTTTTTTGTGGGGTACCAGCAATTGAACTCAGGACCTTGCACTTGCAAGGCAGGCGGTACCACCCCCCCTAAGATAAATCCCCAGCCCTAAACATGTCTTTTGAAATTTTAAGCATTTTATGAATTAGAAACAAAAATAACATAGCATTTGTATCTCATAATAGAAGAATTTCAATGTATACACCATAAAAACATTGATAAGTTTAGATAATGGATAGGCTAACTGCCCTGCACTAATCACTGCCCAATGTGTACGTGAATCAAAACATCACACTGTACCTCATACAAATATGTGAAATATGTTGATCAAACACTTTTAAAATTAACTTATTTTTTAAAAAGAATATAGATAGCTGGCGTTTTTTTAAAAACCTGATTTTCCTTGTCATTTACTTCCTTCTTATATTCTTCTTCAAGGTGCTGGATTTTTTCATTATCTTCCTTTACTTCAAAAATAAAAAATATGTCATGTCTTAATATAAGTATATAATTTTTCCATATAAACAAAAATTTAAAGATTTCACTTCCTAATTTATTTCAATACTGCTATTTTCTAGCTGCTAATTCTTTTTTTTTTTTGTGGTACCGGGGATCGAACTCGGGTCCTTGCGCTTGCGAGGCAGGCCACCGAACCGCTGAGCTAAATCCCCGGCCCCTCTAGCTGCTAATTCTAATGAAATAGTTAACAATTTCAAAGTTATTACTTAAAATTCTACACTTCTCAGAATACAACACATATAAAACTTTTCTTTACAACATATTAATCTAAAGTAAAAATGTTAGCAATATATAATTATTTTTTGTTTTGTCTTATTTTGTTTTTTGTTTTTTTTTTGAGACAAGGTCTCACTTTGTAGTTCAGGCTGGCCTCAAACTTGTGGCAATCCTCCTGCCTCAGACTCCTGAGTGCTGGCATTACAGGCATGTACCACTATGCCTGGCTTAATTATCTTAACATTTATACTTTACAAAGAAATATAAAAAACTAAAGTATATATCTAAAAAGTCAAATGCAAACCATAGTAAGTTTGATGTCATGAAAAATGTAGTTCTAAAGCCAAAAAATACTTTTAACATATACTAATTTCCTGCCACATTCCACAACATATAGAGAAACTTAAATATAAAGTAATTGAGGGCATCTAATTGAAGGGATTAAAAACATTAATAAAATTTAATAAAAATTAAAATAGCAAAAGAGTAATATAAAAATTAAATGAAATTCCTACACTTAAAATGTATTTCCAGTCTGGAATTTTCAGCTTGCAACCGGAGTTCCTCAAAAGCTATTATCATTTTCTGGAACACAAAGTTTAAATTTTAAGAATCAGTCTTAGGTTTTCTGTAATTTGATAAAATAGTTTAATATTCAATTCCAAAGAATTATTCAAAGAGAAGTACAAAGTATGGGTTACAAAACAGTATAAATGCTTTTCACTCAAATATTTATGAAATTTTACAATTTACATCTAAGCAAATGGTACTACTAGTTTTTAAATACTTTTCTTCAAAATTTGAAAATATTAATAAATTTAACATGTAATCACTAAATATAAAACCACACAACTTTGAAAAATAAAAACTGTCGTTTTAAACAACTGATTTAGTAAAAATGCATTTAAAATGCTCATTATGTCAGTTTCCTAGATATTTAAAGATACTAGAGTCATTTTATACAATACATTAGCAAAATGATTGTTGGCATTTTGTTCATTCACTTAGTAACACATAATAAAACACTGTATGCAATTTTTCACTTATTTGTGCTTATTTAAATTTTTCTTCCTTACTAAAGTGATGTCTCTCCTTATAAGAATCCAAAACTATGCTTCCATCATCTGGTAGTATGTGCTCACTTAGAAGTCAATAAATCTTACTTTGTAAAATCAGATTCATTCATATATTCACTCATATATTTATCAAGTTCTGGATATGTATCAGGAACTATTTTCGGCACTCAGGATATAAGATAAAGTCTCTAACCTGCTGGAACTGTTTTATATTCCAAGGTAAGAATACATAGATGTGTGTACATAAATACTCATGCACATACAAGAAGTATGAGTCAAATAAATGTCATGTAGTTTTAAATGCTCTTCAGAAAAAAATAAATGTGGCTGAGATACAAAATAATTGAATGAAGATATTTAGATTAATAGTAAGGTGGGGAAATAAACAGAACAAAGCTTGGAAGTACGCATAAGACCACACAAGTTCTAGACAAAGGGAACAAATTCAAAGAACCAAGATCAGAAAAGACTTAGTAAAACTGATAAATATAAAAAGGAAAAGTATTAGAAAACCAAAGTGGTGAATAATAAATGAGATAACAAAGGTAAGCAGGAGCCAGATACAGATTAATACTTTATATGTTTTCAAATTAATATAAAATACTGTAATAGAAACAATTATTATGTCACAAAGTGGTGGCCTCTGACATAGTAAATATTTGACAAATTAAGTTAAATAGTGTTACTGACATGTAAAGTAAAATGTTACTACATAGCAAAATATTAGAAATCATAGTACAAAACTATGAATTTTATTGATTCATATATCAACAAAAATTAATTATCTTTTTAGCAAGAACAGTAATCTACGCCTTTGTATTTATTGCTCTACTTTGTTAGGAATTTTTTGGTTTAAAATATTCATATATTCACTAATACTTACCTCAATGCTATTATTTAAATCCATGTGAACTTGTCTGGTTTCTTCCCGTTCATATTCATCTATTCAAAATTAAAGTTTAAAAATTAGATTGCAACAAGTCAATACTCAAAATATATTAGAAAAACATTAAAATGTTTTAAATTCTGTGTTAATGAAGGGCACTTGGATATCTAACTCAGTTCTAAGTCTTTTGAAATAGTATCAAAACCAGTTTTGGTCCAGGCTGGTATGTAAGAGGCTTGAAAGTTGCTACTCCATTTTAAGTAAAAAGCTAAACAAAATTAAAAAATCTTATACCCAAAAGAGAAATAAGATCATAGAGAAAACTACCACCATCGAATTCATCAGGGTAGAAACCCAGGAGCAGAAAACACTGTGGGAATGACAGCCAGCATAAGAAAACCTGGACCAACAGCTACAAATACTATGACAAATCTGAGAAATAAAAACTATGGGAACCCAGTCATGGTGGAGCAGACAACACTCTTGTGAGTTTTACCTCCTAAATCTCTATCATATTTTCACCATGACTGTGAAGAGGAACATCCTCTCATTTTCTCTAAAGAGAAATGGAAAGGAACAATTCTGAAATATGCTAATATGTCTTGTTCTTTCAACAGGGTTTTCCTTTAGAAAAAACTACTTAACCCCAGCAAAATCAGCTGGGTTTTTATCAGAGCCTGATCTGAACAAAGAGAAAACCAATTCCAGCCAGCTCTATCCTTCCTTATTGAAGAAGAAAAATATCCAACTCCATTCCCCTCTAGCCTTCTTTTAGTAAAAAGGGAATTATCAAACTTCAGCCCATTTTAGCCATCCTGTCTCCCTGAAAGGAAAGGAATAGATTAAGAAGTATTTGTGAAGTTTGAAGTTCACAGGCAACAGTGTGCTAAAAAAAAAACAGATCTGCTGGGCAAGGTGGTGCACATCTGTTAATCCCAGCACTCGGGAGGCTAAGGCAGGAGGATCACTGTGAGTTGGAGACCAGCCTGTGCTACACAGTGAGTTCCAGGTCTGTCTCAACTACATAGTGAGTCCCTGTCTCAAAAACAAAACAAAACAACCTGAGATCTAATCAAAGGTCAACAGAACAGTTCACCTCTACCTACATCTTACCACAAACAGCACCAAAGATTTATTAACAGCAGTTCCTTTACTGAGTACCACCATGTCCAGCTATAAAGAAAATTACAAACCATAAAGGCAAAAATACCGTTTGACAATACAGAACATCAAAACAAGATTCAGACAGGACAGAGATGTTAAAATTAACAGATGAAGAATTTTTAAAACATATGATTACTAAAGGCTCCAGTGCAGTGATAGGGGACCTATGGCACATGAGCCACAGGCAGGATGTTTGTCACCACTGAGAAAGGTCTAAAAACTTCGCCACAGGGGCCCGGGATTTAGCTCAGTGGTGCCACCGCCTGCCTCACAAGAGCAAGGTCCCAAACCACCGCTACTGCTCTAGTGAATAAAGTAGACACCATGTAAGAACAGAAAGGCAGAGGAATTGGAGGTGCATAATTCATGGTAGGTGCTTGCCTACCATGCACATGGCCCCAGGTTCAACATAGAACTCCACAAAAAAAAGAGAGAGAAAGGCAATGTAAGTCTAGTACATTTAGTGTTAGGTCAGAAATTCTAAGAAAGAATGTATAGATCAAAACAGATAAGAAAGGCTCACTAATAGATTAGGCATGACTATGCTAAGAATTACTGAGCTTGGAGATAAAAACTTCACAAATGAAAAGTAAAGACCAAAAACAAAAAATGGAGCAGACTATCTACAAACTGCAAGACAGCTGAAAAAAGTGTAACATATGCACAAATTGGAATACCAGAAGAAAACAAAAACAAAAAACAAAACAAACAAAAAGAGACTGATAATTTCCTCAAATGAATGTCAGACATCTAACCACAGATCTTTCCCAATGATGAATGTGATCATAATGTATACCTAAAATGTACCAATAAATTTAATGTAAAAAAAAAAGTACATACTGCAAACAGGTACTAATTAAAAATTGAATAAAAAAACAAAGTCTTTGTAAATAGGGAAGGGTGAAGCGAGTGAAGGGAGGGCAGGGATATGGGGAAAAATCAAGAACCGAGATATAACCAAGATACAAGATCCCAATGATAAATTTAACTGTATTGTTTGCTTTAAATGTACCAATAAACTTAATGGAAAAAATTGAATAAAAAGTTTTAAAAGCTGTATAACTGATAAGTCAAGAAAGGAGAGAAAATAAAGTCACATGAAATTCTCAATTAAAACCAGAGATGGGCCAGGGATTTAGCTCAGTGGTTCGGTGGCCTGCCTTGCAAACGCAAGTACTCGAGTTCAATCCCTGGTATCAAATAAATAAATAAATAAAACCAAGAGCCAGACTAGGCATGATAGTACACAGAAATCACTGTCAGCTCTCAGACCACAATGGAATTAAACTAAAACTCAGTAACAGAAAGCTAGCTGGAAAATCATAAAATACTTGGAAATTAATCAACACATTTCTAAGTAACAGATGCATCAAGGAAAAAATTTCAGGAGAAATTTAGAAATATTTTTAACTTAATGAATTAAGTGCACTGAATTAAATAAAAACACGGTCTATCAAAAATTGTGTGACACAGCACATGCTTATAATCCTAGTTACTCAGGAGGCTGAGGCAGGAGGATCACAAGACAGTGGCCAACTTGGTCAACTTAGTGAGACACTGTTTCAAAAAAACTTTTTTTAAAGGGGGGTATGTGGCTCAAAGCGTTCCCTGGGTTCAATCCTAGGACAAAAAAAAAAATAGTGTGGGATATAGCCAGGAATGATGGCACATGCCTGTAATTACAGCACTCAGTAGACTGAGGCAGATCACTGTGAGACTGAGGTCATCCTGGGCTATGTAGCAAGTTCTAGGCCAAGCTAAACTACATAGAGAACCTGTCTCAAAAAAAAAAAGTGGGGGATATAACAAAAACAGAGGAAAATTTATATGTTGAATGCATATATTTGAAAAGAATAAAGACCTACAATCAATTATCTAAGTATCAACCTTAGGAAGCCAGAAAAATAATAAATTAAATCCAATGCAAACAGAAGAAAAAAATATTAGAAATCAGAACCAAAAATCAATGAAATGCAAACAGAAGACCAAAATGCAAAATCAGTCAGACCAGAAGCTAGTTTTTGTTTTGCTTTTGAGATAGGTTCTCAACTATGTAGTTCAGGGTGGCTTTGAAGTCACAGCAATACTCCTGTCTCAACCTGGGATTACAGGCAGGCACCACCACACCAGGGGGCTAGAAGCTAATTTTTTTTAAATCAATAAAATTAATAAACCTCTGGCCACACTGAGAAAAAGAAAACTCAAAATATTAATACAGAAATGAAAGAGGAGACCATCGCTGTAGATCCCTTGAACATTAAAATAACAGTCAGGCACTCTTTGGCACATGCCTGTAATTCCAGCACTCAGGAGGCTGAAGCAAGAGGATCACCATGACCTCAAGGCCAGCATGGGCTACGTAGTGAGTTCAAGGCCAGCTTGGAATATTTAGCAAGACTTTGATACAGAAAAAAATAATAATAATAACAAAAGAATATTATAAACAACTCTATGTTCAGAAATTTAATAATGTAGAAAAAATGTACTATCAAAAGATATAATTGCCAAAAGAAAGGATATAAATACATATATATATACATATATATATATATATACACACATATATATACATACACACACACACACACACACACATATTTAAATCTATTAAAAAACTTAATCAATTTCATCCCAAAACAAAAAGCACAAAGCCTGACAGGTTCACTGTTGGATTCTAACAATGTTTAAAGAAGAAATGAGGCCAATTCTCAACAATCTCTTTCATAAGATAGTAGAGAGAATATGTCCTAACATCCTATAATGCAGCACCACCCTAATGACAAAACCATATACAGATATTACAAGATAAATTAGGTATAAATTATAAATAAATTGGATATAAAAACCATCAACAATCAATCAAATTGAACAATGTATAAAAAACCAAGTGCAGTGCCAGGGATTTAGCTCAGTGGTGCCATGCCTGACTCACAAGGGCAAGGTCCTCAGATCAATCTCCAATACCAGAAAAAACAAACAAACAAACCAGATTCAGTGGCATAACCTATAATTCTATCCACTTTGATAGGCTATGGCAGAATTACAAGTTCAAAGCAAAATAAATTTTTTTAAAACTGAGGATTCATCTCAATAATTCCTGGGATTCAATCCCCAGGGCTGCCAAAAATAAAATATACAGAATAACCAAAGTAGGATTTATCTCAGGCTTTGTTCAAACTGTGTTCAATATTTCAGATTATTAAAATCCATCACATCAAGGGCTAAAAAAGAGAAATTATAGACAGGGTCATACCAGTAGATGCAGAAAAAAATTCAACATCTATGCATGACATTTTTTTAAAGGAAAGAAACCTCTCAGTTAATGAATACGGGTCAACTTTCTCAACTTGACAAAGCATATCCATTAAAAAAAAAAACTACAGCTAACATTTACTTAATAGTAAGAAACTAGAAGCTTTCCCACTAAAATCATGACAAAAGGATGTCCCTTCTCATCATTCCTTTTCAACATTTATTAGAAGTCCTAGTTAACAAAATAAGATGAGGAAATAATAGGAATATAAACTGAGACAAAAGAAATAAAACTGTTTTTGTGCAAGTTGCTAAACTGGGTATGGTAGTAAACACCTATAATACTAAGTATTAAGGAGGTTGAGGCAGAAAGATGGCAAATTCTAGGCTAACTTAGGCAAGTTAATGGACCTTATCTTAAATTAAAAGAACTGGAGGTATCGCTCAATTATAGAGCAGCCAGAATCTCATTCCCAGTATTGCAAAAATAATTACTAAAAACTAAATGACCAACATTTATGAAGCACTTTGAGCTGTTCTAAGCATTTTATATTTATTAACTAATTCTCAAAACAATATTAAGAAGTATTTTAAATAGTAAACAATGACACCCTAGTGTAGGAATATGCCTGTAATCCTGGCACTTGGGAGGCTGAGGCAAAGCATCATTGCATATTCAAGGACAGCCTGGACTATGTAGTGAGTCTAGGAGCAGCCTAAATAGATAATGAGACTCTGTCTGAAAAAATAAATGAGTAAATAAACAATGACAGAGAAATTACACAATTCAAACTAAAAGTAGAAATTTTTAATGTATAAATTTGACAAGAATAATTCTTCAGTCCAAGCTGTTAAGCAGTAAACCATGCCTTTTGAATTAAGAACTTTAGCTAAGAAACAAAGTATATCCTAAAAAAAGCAGGTAGGTAGAATTTCCCAGAGGATCCTTGGTAGAAACAAAACAGAGCTTCTGTCAAATCAAAGGCAAAGAAAGGCTATTATTTTTTTATAATCAGTTTTTTTTTCACCAAAATAAAAAAATTCCTACTTTACAATTAAAAATCAAAACATGCATAAAGTAAAAATTCTTTCATTCAAACTTTATCAGAATATTAAGAGAAATATGAGAATCCTACTTAGTTTGAAAACATTCAACTACTGTTAAATACAGTTATGTGTCACTTAAAGAGAGGGATAGACACCAAGAATGCATCACTGTGCAAACAACATAGAGTTCACTTACACAAACCTATTGCATAACCTAGTACACATGTGGACTACAACCTGTCTGGCACATCACTGTACTAAATAAGCAATTGTAACAAAATGATAAGTATTTGTGTATCTAAACATAGAAAATGTAGAATAAAAATACAGTATAAAAAATAAAAAGTGGAATACCTACATAGGGTACTTACTATGAATGGAGCTTAAAGGACTGGAATATGTTGGGTAAGTCAGTGAATCAGTGAGTGAGAGGTGAGTGTATGAGAAGTGTAAGAGATTAACTACTACAGTCATAAAGACTGTATACTTGGGCTAAGTTATATTTACAAAAACAGTCTTTCTTCAATAATAACTCTAGCTTACTCTATCTAATTTATGTTATAAACTTTTTAATATTTTTAATTTTTTACTCTTATAATAAAACTTATCTTAAAACCAAACTGCACAACTATATAAAAATAAACTTTTTAAATTTTTTAGTTAAATATTAATACAAAAACATACACATGTGCATAGGCCTACATAGGATCAAGATTATAAATAACACTGTCTTCCACCTCCACACTTTGTCCTGTTGAAGTACTTTAGGGGCCATAACACACATGGAGGTGTCATCACCTAGGATAACAATGGGTTTCTCTATAATCCCTCCTTAACTTGCCTGAGGCAGTTTTACAGTTAACTTTTTTGTAAGTAGAAAGAGTACATTCAAATAATAATTAGAAGTACAACATAGTAAGTACATAAAGCAAAAACATAGCTGCTTATCATCATCAAGTTTTATGTACTAAAAATAATAATGCCATACTTTCACTAAACTAGCTGTGCAGGTTAGTTTACACCAATATTTCCAGACATACATTACTAATGCATTATGCTATGATATTACAAAGGCTACGTCAGTAGGTGAGAGAAATTTTTCAGCTACATTCTAATCTTTTTTTCTTCTTTTTCAGTCAGTGCAGGGGAAATCTAGAGCCTACTGCATGCTAGGCAAGCATTAAACTACATCCATAGCCACCACTACAATCTTATGAGACCAAAATCATATATGCAGTCCATTGTTGATCCAAACATCATCAAATAGTATATGACTGTACTATACTTTCAGCACATTCCTCCATCATATTTTGTTACAGAATGGCTATATATCTTATTCTTGATTCAATTTTCTGGTTGTTCCCCACAGAAGAGAGGTTAGCTTGAAAAATTATACTTTAACTCAATACAGATTAACCATATGTGTCAAATATATACTTACTGAAATACATTGCCTCTTTTGTTTTTCTTTAGCTTTTTTTTTAATGCATTACCTTTTAAAAAGCTTTCTGAAACCTCAAAACTCAAGGAATTGAGAATCTAGTTATTACAGAAATTGTGTGAGGCATATAAATCTTATTCAAATCAAAATTAATTCTAAATAATAAAAAGATAGTATTTGACTTCTGTGTCCATGCCACTAAATAATAAATTGATAAAAATCATAAAACAAGAAAGATAGTTACATTTCTTTGTCTTTTCTGCAGCTCTATTACAGGTTTCCTTGAGTACATTACATAAATGTCTTGTAGTATTATTCCTGAAACAAAGAAAATTATTTGACTAAGTGTAATCTGATCTGATAGCAAAATCGCAACAAAACTTATGAAGTATATTGTTACAATTTTTAAGAAATGTTTAAAATATTGTATATTTTAAAATTCTTAATATCATTTATCATACACAAATGACTATAGAAACAGTAGATGGTCTATACTATTAACAAAGGTAATTTAGAAACTGTTTTCTTTTAAGCTAAAGTGACAACCCCTTAAATTTCTAGAGAAACTTTTATCAATAACCTTTTGAGAAATAATAGAAGACAGGTTATAATGCACGAATAATAAAACAGGTTTGGCTTTTCATTTACTAAATACCCAAAACATGTTTTAGATGTCTAATCTTCAAAACAAAAATGTTAACTTTGTAAGTGTGCATTACATGAATACGATTTTTAGCTGCCTTATCCAAGTTACTAACACTGAGCAGTTAAGACTTCATTTTCCAACTTATAATTTTTCAGTAGAAATAAACTGTTACAATGGCAAAAAGAGTACTTTGAGAATGTGAATAAGCTTGGAACTATGGTCAGTTCTATTTTGCAGTGTTGCACCTGTGGCAACAGTGAAACAGAAAGGCAGACAATATAAAAAGCAGTTGTAGATATGGAATTATCAGGAATCTTTTTTTTTTTTACACCAAATAATGATTCTTCCTGATGACTGACATTTTAAATTATGAGAAGTTACTGGACAGTGACTTCCAGTTTGCCAAATGCAAGAATGCAGAATGGATTATGTCTTTCTTTTTTCCACAGACTTCATGTAAAATTCTACTTATAATACTCTGTAACACACAGAAAGTACTCAATAAATTTTTGAAAATTATTTTAATATTAAATTTGGAAAGAACAAATTCATTAAATTATCACTTACTCTTTTATTAAATCTTTTCTTCCTTGAATTTCTTCATCTAATTTCAAACTTACTCTTTCATTTTCAAACTAATTTACAAAACAAAAGAACAGTTCATTACATCTTCCTTAGTAAAATAAATATAAGTATAATCATTAAGCATTTCACGGCTAACATACTATAGGAGTCTATGAGAATTCTTTTCTTTCCATACAAAAGGAACATTTTCTCACAACTTATGGATTTCCCATGAGAATATAGGTCTCACTTTCAGCAATCTAAAATAAAGTTTGCTAAATGATACCCAAAAAGCATTCAACAGTATCTTAATGCAATATTATTTTCTCTAAATTTTTGAAGCAGTTTTATACATTTGCATTTTCTTGACATTTTTCTTATTTTATGCTATAAACCAAAGTCACTTTCAAAATTAAGTTTTCTATATAAATATATTCTAAAGAAAGCAATTTATATCAAATAAAATAGGAGTTAATAAAATTTACCTACTCAATAAATTAGCATCATTGAATCAGTCTTTATCAAAATAGTTTCCCTAATCATTTGCATTGTTTTGTGTATCTTGTCTTCTGAGCTCACTACTAAAGTTGAACTGAAACTAGTATCGATGAAAACTTCAAAAACCCTTGTCCCTCAAAAGTACCCATTACAAAAACAAATTAACTCAATTTTCCTAAAATAATACTCTTACTGAGCCAGGGATTTAGCTCAGTGCCAACACGCCTGCCTTGCAAGTGCAAGGTCCCGAGTTCGATTCCTAGTACCAAAAAGAAAAAATATTCTATTTACTATATTATAATTCAAAATTTCATTATACCTGCAGTTCCTGAATGGCTTGTCGCTGTGATTTAATTGTCCTTTTCTTTTGTTCCAACTTATTTTCTTTCTTCTTCAGTTCAGATTCTATATTTACTTTCCAGTTTTTAATTTTTTCAGCTTCCTTATACAGTTTTGAGTACATTGTCTCCATTGGCTTTGAATCCTGTTAAAACATGCTTACAAATATTAGTTATCCATAGTTATAACCAAACTACAGCTTCTCAATAAAAATATACCCATATGAATGGTAACCAACTGTCTCAATTTATGCTCTCATAGCAAACTAAAAGCTACCTTAACACTTTTAAATTACAAAGCAATATTAGCTACATCACTGAACCTACTGGTCACTTGATAAAGTTATACTTTGCTGAATTAAAAAAATGACTGAAACATGTTTAATATGTTAGAAACATGTTAGGCAATGAGAGACTCTGGCTGGGTAAAAGCTAAAATAAATCACTCTACCAAAAAAAGGCCATAAATTTTAACAACAGTCTTGAAACACTTTAATTACAGAAAGCCTGAGTGTTAACATGGAAATGTTTTAAATAATAAATAATAATGAATAAAAAATAATAATGAATACAAAACTTAACTTTCATTGAGCTTGACGTTTTGTTTAGACTTCCTGCCTTTTTACTTACATATTATTGCAAAGGCCAGAGAATTGGTGTGGGCGGGCATTGTTTCTTTTTACAGTGCTGGGAATCCAACCCAAGACTTCCTGAATGTTACTACTCTACTATTAAGCTCCACCTTCCAGGCTTTTTTAAAAAAACAAAATGAAACATTGATTTCTGCTTGCTGACAGCTTTTTGTTATCAAAATACATGAACAGGTTATTTTTAAATTCTGTGATACACTAATCACAGCGGTAGCCCCGTGTGGTGGGCATCCCTGTAATCCCAGCACTCTCTGAGAGGCTGAGGCAGAAGGATCGCTTTGATTTCAAGGCCAGCCTGCACTACATAGTGAGTTCAAGGTCAGCCTGAACTACATACTGAGACCTTGTGTACATCCTATAAATGTTTTTCTAACATCAAAAGTACAGCATGTCCTACAAATGCTTTACACAGTAAATCTCCCAAATGATTGATTTCATCTGTTAATTCAAAGATTTTGTAAAATACTGGTCTGATTCTCAGCCTTTTCACCAATGCCCTCTTCTATTCTTAATTTATACGTTTTAAAATTAAACTGTCCTTAAAAAACTGTGTACTTTTACAACTCAGGAAAAACACATAAGCCTAGTATTTCAGTAACATTAAAAGAAAAACAAAGCAGAAACAAAGTTTTAAGAGAATGTATTTGAAAACATTAAATATTAATCCTCCTGAAGCTTCAAAAGAAAATGCATACAAATAATAAATCATACTCCAATTACACAAAATTTAGCATAAATGGGAAATCTGACCTCAAAATCAGAGTCATCTTGTCCTTCCTGATAGTGGCAACTGCCAGAATTACCAACCTAAAAAATGAATTTTTCTATTAAAAAATATTTGTTAGAGTTCTCAAATAATACAATTAAACACTCAAGACTAGTAATTCAATAACTGGAGTTTTTTCTTCTTCAAATAAGCAATCAGTACCTAAAAGGATTATATCCATATACTCTGCTTAACTGACCTGCTCAAGCATAGGCAAAGCATTAACATTTTGTAAACCAGGATCTGCAAGATAAGAGATAAATGGTATTAAATATGCCAATATCTTATTTTTATGTTAACTATTATATATACCTTTAATGTCACAGATATAAATACAATACTTAGATTTTCAGGAACAACGTTGATAATAAAATGACTCTATGTAAACCAATGTATTACTTTTCCAGGACCTTACCTGAATCAACGTTTTCCCCATTCGTGGAGCGATTAGTTGTTGCAAATGGAAAACTAAAATTATCTTCAGTACATCTGCTGAAATTCTAGAAATACAGAGAAGTTCTTAAATACACTGTTCCATACCACTTTGATACCCAGCAATGTAATACATAAATATGCAACATATATGTGCCTAAAGAAATAAATGTAATTATAAATTATTCAATGTACACAGTGTTTAAAATATCCAATATTTTGGCAATCTAAATAAAGCAAAATTTTTAATTAGGTATTCTCACTGGTAAATAAAACAAAGCTAAAAATTATGCAGTACGAGCTTGGCCGGTTTGTTCCACCTGAGAAACTTGGTATATTTCCTCTGTTCCAACAAGACTTCTAGTGTATAAATAAATGGATTTTCCCTCTTTATCTTGTCCACCAGGAAGCTCAAAGCAAAACCTCAAGCTCTGTCCCTACACTAATCATTACCTGTATATAAGCGTCTGTTCAAATATTCTCAATTTTCCTTGGAAATTTTCCTAATTTAAATTTTACTCTTTCATCGTATATGTCTTGGGAGTTGCCGCAAATCATGTAGGGACAGAGCGGGGATTTAAATGAGCATAGTCTACTGTGTAAGCAGAGCTCTGGGGCAGCAATGAGTGTTTTAATAAATGAAGCCACAATAATACATTCATTAGTCATTCCGAGGACACTACTCCAAATTCAATCAAACCTTATCAGTGAGAAAGCTCCCCTTGCCTCCTACACCTACTGCTAAGAACCCTCGAGCCAGATTCTTATGCAAATTCACCTTGAAGTTCGAATCGGCTCCGGAACTCTGAGGCTTCACCGCAGACACCTGACTGCTGCGTAACCTCGGCGGCAGGAAGAGTTTGAACGGCTTCTGCTTTTCCATTCTCTCCCCTTCTCTGGAAGCAGCGGGCGCCCGAGGAGACGGAGTGAG